ACTTATTTGTAGATCTTACTCAGCTGAACATTGCCACTTATACTTTCTCTCTATATATTATAATATTAAAGAAAATAACCAAAAACAGTAAAATTTAATAAAATTAACTATTTCGGACAGTAACTCTACAATTGGTGGTATAATTGGTCTGAAAATTTCATAACAGATAGATCATGACCCATTCATCACTTTAACTCTCTTTCACTTTTAAACTGCTGTAGATTTTGAAATATAAGTCAAAAACTGCCTTTGTCCCCTATGTTCTACTTTTAGCCATGGCGGCCATGTTTGTTGATGGATCAAAATTTCGGATACAATTTATAAACTAGATACCCTAAAGAGCATTCAGTTAAAGTTTGGAAGTATTTCAGAGAAGAAGATTTTTGAAAAAGTAATAGAACTTGCACAAAAAAATGTAAAAAATAAACGTTTCAAGGGCAATAACTCCAGTTACCCTTATGAACATTCAATTAAAGTTTAGAATTATAAGGCCCAGTAGTTTCAGAGGAGAAGAATTTTAAATGTTAGCAAACATGATGAACAAATTGTGTAAAATTGTCCTTAAAGGGCAAAAATTCCTTAAGGGGTCAATTGACAATTTTAGTCATATAAAAACTTTTTTGTAGATCTTACTTTGCTGAACATTTTTGCTGTTTACAGTTTATCTTTATCTTCATTAATATTCAAGACAATAACCAAAAACTGCAGAATTTCCTTAAAGTAAAATTACCAGTTTAGTGGCAGCAACCCAACAATGGGTGTTCGATTCGTCTGAAAATTTAAGGGCTGATAGTTCTTGACCTATTGAACATGTTTACCCCATGTCAGATTTGCTCTAAATGCTTTAGTTTATGAGATATAAGCCAAAAACTGCATTTGACCCCTATGTTCTATTTTTAGCCATGGCGGCCATTTTTGTTGATGGATCAAAACTTCTGATACAATCTATAAATTAAATACCCTAAGGAACATTCAGTTAAAGTTTGAAGGTATTTGGCCCAGTATTTTCAGAGGAGAAGATTCTTTAAATACTGTGAATTCATTATTATTCGTTGGATACCAATTTTCGTGGATTTCGTGGTATTATGTTAACCACGAAATTAAAAGTTCAACGAATGGCAAATTTACTTTAGGCTTGTATGCAGACATTGTCAAAAACCACGAAATTAAATATCCACGAACATGTAAGTTTTCCTTAATCCACGAAAATTGGTACCCACGAAAATAAATGAATCCACAGTAGTTTACGACGACGACGACAGACGACGGACGACGACGGACGCCAAGTGATGGCATAAGCTCACATGGGGCCGTTCGGGCCCCGGTGAGCTAAAAAAATGCAAGCGCTAACCCCCTTTCCCAACATGTGACAGGTTTGTAGCACTACATCATAAGAACAATATGTGAACATCAATTGAAAGGGTTTCATTCCTCAGATAGTTACGAAGCACAAAAACCTCAAACCTCAGTCCCAACTATCCACAAACATTCACAACATAATCAATGTTATGTACGATAAAGACAATATTCAAAGATCTTACTCGTATCTAAATTTACAAGGCTTTAACAGAACATTTACATTATCATTGACCCATGAATATAAGGTCAATTTCAGATAAACCCTGTCGGATGCAAATATAAACCATACTACACCGTACAATCATTTTATACACTCACTATAGTTCTGACATAATCATAATAAAATGCACTGCATGGCACAGTTTGTTACAACCACAGAGGTTGAACCATGAAAAATTGGGGCAAGTATGAACACAATATTCAAGCTTGATACAGCTCTTAATTTGGATTGTGATAAAATATTTGACACAGCATAGGTTTCTGACTCCAAATAAATGTGGTCTAAGAATTCAAAAATACATTTACCTATACCCTAATATCCAAAATCTAAAATAAGTTAGAATCAGCATTTCAAAAAACTCAAAAAATTCAATTTTTTATTTTTTTATTTTGGACCCTTTGGACCTCAATTTGAACTAGTTTGTTAACAGGGCTAACAATCCAAAATCTAAATACAGATCACAGTTACCAGTAGATTCAGCATATCAAAGAACCACAAGAATTAAAATTTTGGTTTAAATCAAACAGTTTAATTTTGGACCATTTGGACCTCAATATGAACCAATTAGATAATGGGCCCAATATGTAAATACACAGTTTGATTATATAAAAAAAAAAACCCAAAGAATTCAATTTTGGGTTTAAATCAAACTTAGATTAATTTTTTATCCTTTGGACCTGAATGTGAACCAATTCGAAAACAGAAATACACAAACATGGTAACAGATTCAGCATATTTTAAAAAGAACCCTAAGAATACATGATTCTCATCGAAATTGGTCAAGAAACAAATAATTTATACAAAGTATTGGTGTTTGTTTGGTTCCTAATTCATAAACAGTTTGGGCCATAATCACCAAAATCCCTTTTTGGTTTGAAATCTTGTATAATAATTTCATAGAAATCCATGGATTTATTCTCAAGTTATGGTCTGGAAACCCCAGAAAATCTTTTTTTTAACCTTTATTCCTAAACTGTTAGGGCAATAACCCCAAATTCAATTCATACCTTCCTTTTGTGGTATGGGACCTTGTGGTTCTATTTCTTTGAGATCTATACACTTATACTCGTTATTGTCTGGAAAACATATGTCTTCAGACCACAATGACGACATATCCACACCATTATAAAATGGCAAAAGTTTTGCAGTCTATAAAAACTTAATGTTGACCACACTTCACAAAAAGGCCAAGGTCAGATGTATCTCATAAGACAATCATATTCACATTACAATCATTCTGTACACCATACATTGTTGACCTAGAGAATCTGACCGAGAACAGACCAAATCATGGAACCTAAATGATGACCAAATGGTGCAGGATAAGCCACTCAAATTAACAAATTTTTCGTAAACCTTTTTCTTATCCCAATCCATGCAATGTGATACAAAATATATCTCTTCGTGTGAGAAATAGATCACAGGCAATAACCATAAGATAATTAATTGTCCTTATTACACATAAAAACTGTCAAATTAATTTGAAAACAAATAATGTACACATACCCTTAAAAATGGAATCAAGATAATGTTCATATGCCAGATTAAACCAGACCATAAGGCAACTGCATACAAGATATGGATTAACTCATTCTTCTTCAGTCTTGATTATGAAGTTTCATATCAGGAGCACCCGCTGCTAGATCTGTATTCCTGTGTTTTGTATCTGATGAGCCTTTATATAAACTAGATCATTTTAGAATTCTAGATCTATTTAAAGACTTGGCAGCCAATCAGGTAATCAGCAAGTCCAATGAACATTTCTGTCATGTAATTCCTAAGTATCATTTGTGTCAAGTCTTGTTTAAACTAGCAAAGAAGTTTCTGTGAAATTTAAAACTCAAAACATGATGTTGAAAGATACCAAGAGATGGAAATATAAACTGTTGACACAGAGATATGTCTTGCGTTTTTTGGTGGTATAATGCAAATGTTGAAATTAAATTGCAATATTTAAACTTGTTATCTATGCAATGAACCATGACTGACGGCAAAATAAAAACACCATGGAAATGCTAATGCTTATAAAACTGCATACCCAACACCATTGACTTATCAATTGGTTCCTTGTTAAACTGAAAGTTTCAAAGTCCATGAACCATGATAAGGAAGTAGGACCAAATAATCTCTATGAAAATGAGACTTGCAAATGCCAATACAACTGCATACCAAATATCAGATATTAGTCACTCATCTTAAACTGATCTAATCACAAATCACATGTAAATAATGCAAAACATTCAGTCAATAAACCATGACTGAGGCTGGAGCTGAACAATCTCTATGGAACTGAGATTTGTCAATGCTCATACATCTGTATACCAAATATCATTGACATACCACTTATAGTTCCCTTTCAATTGAACTAATCACAAACTTATACATGTAAACTAATTAAAAGTTTTAAGTCGACTATGACTGAGGGAGAGAAGCAAAATAATCTCCTTAGAAATAAGATGTTTCAATGCTTATATAACTGCATACCAAATATCATTGACCTACCACTAGTTGTTTTCTTTAACTTGAACTTATCACAATCAAATACATTGTTGAAGCTGCTGCTTATGGAAAAAGCATGCCCAAGTCTCGCTTTTTCAACTTCGTCCATACCATACAATAAATCAGCTGTGTGTTACCCTTGACCACAGAAACCTCTTCCCCCTTTATTTGTCATTCAGACTCAAATAAAATATAAGATAGGTTTTCTCAATTAAATTTTTATAACCTATTTATTTATATCATTATCATGCATCATAATATAAAATACCCAAATGAAACCAGACCCATTCTGCTCCATCAAGTGTGTACAAATACCAAAGAAATTGTAATAATAATAAGTTTTTAGTCCCTTTATAAGTAAAAGGAGGAAAAGGATCTGCATCATGGGTAAGGTATCATTGGTTAAATATTACAATTATACAAAATAACTGACAGCGCTGAGGATTCTTTTTAGTTTCTTGATACCAGTTCCCAGACTAGCTGTTTAAATAGAATTTAGAAAATCAATTCAGTTCTGAGATACATGTCTTAAATTTTAATATCCTTAGGTCTTAAAGGAATATTTTTTTTTGCTCAATATTAAACTTGGTGCTTTCCAATACTTTTAAATACCAAACTTAAATTTATATAATTCCATAAAATATATGAATCCTCAGTTTGTCACATACGAAGAGGCATTTACAAATATAACAAGGAATACAATGGTAAATACTTAGATAAAAAATGCATAAAAATACATGAATCAAATTCATTAATGAGGTGTACTCAATTTATTTACTGGGTTATTTAAATAAACTAATATCGTGATCTGTGCAAAAATTATTAGATCACTGCAGTTCATTAAACATTTATAACCCCAAGCTCTTATATTGTATATAAAGTTTCTTTATAATTCCTCCCAACAATACATGTATGATATAAATATTTTTTTTTATTATTTTCTTGGAACCATAACTTTTTGCCCAGGAAGTAATAAGTAATTATTTCATATAAAATAAAAAGAGGAGATATGATTGCCAACGAGACAACTCTCCACCAGAGACCAAATGACATAGAATTTAACAACTATCAGTCACCTACAGCCTTCAACCATGAGCAAAACCCATGCCCATAGTCTATATCCTTTAGGAAATGTGCCATAGTCAGCAAGTATAGTATCATCTGTTTGCTCATCCGTCTACAACTTCCAATCACAATCAAAAGGATTGAATTGTTTTTGCATAAACTTTCAAATAATCTTCAGTATCTGTTGGCATTGTGTATATTTTTTTAACATCCAAAGGTTCCCCAATCGAAGAATGGACTTTTCCATTTATAAAATTTTATTACTCATATTGAAGGATAGGTTGGTTCAGCTGATAAGAACATAGATTTAGTTAGAGCAAGATTCTGCATTTATAAATCTTGTAATTTGGTCAATCTTCAATGACCACTTCAATATTTATGTTCATTCATTTTTCTATTTTATCCACTAAGACGAGCTAAAAGCATAATAAATGTCTGATCTCATTATGTAAATTTATATTTTGAATTGCATGTATAATCAAAATATATAAACTCAATCATACTAAGGCTTGGTATAACAAGATTTGACAGTTAAAAACAAATAAAATCACATAAAAACCTCTAAAATCAGATAAAACCAGATAAAACACAAATCATGTTATAGCAAAGCCTTATAAAATTTACATTAAAGCTACAGTGGTAATATATATCAGTGTGAACCCCAAATTTATTTTGAATTGAAGTCATTAAAATTTTGTCATAATGAGATCCAACTACTAAAAAAATGATTAAAAACAAATATTTTTGAACCAACCTATCCTTCACATGATAAAATGGTGGTATGAGAAGCTTTTTTCCCTTTTTTTTTCAAATACTTAGGAGGTCCATTCATTACAATTGAGAACCCCAAAATTTCATTATAATAAAATAAAATACACACAGCCATTAGATACAGAAGATAATCTGAAAGTTTAAATGAAAACCTTCCAATAGTTTATAAGCTGTGGATGAGAGATGATGATGGACAAACAGACAGACAAATCTTCTTTAATAACCTTTTTATGCTAAACATGAGTGCAGATGAGCATGGGATTTGGTCCTGCCCTGGGTCATATCAAAGAATTGAAAATTGGTATTTGATGCTCCCCTGCTAAGCATTCAGCATTTAGGAGTAGGAGCAAAGACTGGTCAGCTGGAAGTCAGAATAATGTGTTCAGGTAGGGTTAGATGTCTTGTGCAGACTTTTACATTATGAACCAGCACATTAAAAAATCTTGCATTTTTAATTATCCATCCATCCTTCAAAATCAAAACTTCTTTTACAGGATCCTGGTTATACATGTGGAGGGGGGAGGTAATTGTTTAGAAGCTGAGTACAAGCCTCAAAAATCAAACATTAAAATATAAATAATCATAAATGAGAAAAAATATAGATATCTATCAAACAAAAATGAGAAAATATGACAAACTGCAAAAACTATGTAATTATTTTCACTTCAGTGGCCTCAAATGCTGAATAATGCATTTATAATATATAAACAAAACCAATAAATAAAACTGACAGCCATTAATTTGTATGAATGTAAAGAATGCAGAGTCAAAACAAACCATCTAACTAAACATTTTTATTTCTAGTTCATATTGCACCAAAAACTCAGTACTTAAATTGTTTAATAGGGGATTTGTTTTATTCCCTTTTAGTGTTTGGCCATCGAAGTCCTACTTAATAGGTTTCTAACCAGAAAAAAATCATTTCACAAAGGATTTATAATTCTTAACCAGTGTACATAACTTAAAAAATATATGTTAACTGAAGCAAGTCTTATGGGTATCTTGTGAAACCATACATCATACCTTTGGGACCTCTCAAATAACAATAATTTCACAGTTTTTTTTTTATATTTCTTCAATCACAAAACAATATTTGAATGCAAGAAAAAATAATGAAATAAATATTTATAATTTGAATAATAAAGCATTAAAAATTAATTGCATTTATAATTCATTCTGCTTATAAGACAAATATCTGCTGATTTTTTTACAAAAGATAGCAACAGTTCATCCAATGGTTTGCAGGATTGTAGTCTGAGGATTTTACCATACAAAGAAGGCAGCAACTGCAACTCTTTTGACTGAAAAAGAAACAAAGTTAAATTTCAATTGTTGATTCTTAATTTTAAAATAATCTAACGGGAATAAAGAAACAGACATCAGTGTATGTTAAACAATTTGTTTATTACTTATATTGATTACTCAAAAATAAATAGTATCAAAAATATCTGATTTTATTGTTATCTCCCCTTCATATATCTTCTTCAGATCTAGTATCTGGGGCGTTTTTTTTTGTTCTTCAGTAGTGAGCCAGAAGAGGTTCATTTTAGATTTTTGCTTTGGGAAGATCTTCTGGCTCTCTTCTATCTCTTCTTTTTAAATAGGTAGTTTAGACGGCAGAGGCACGTAACAAACGTGGCGTCGCTTAGTTTAAATGACATTAATAAATTTATAAATGCAGATATAATAGAATGTGAGTTGTGTGATACACGTTTCTATGGTATGGCAACCTTATTAGGACATTCCTATAGGAACAATAAGTTGGATAAATATACAAGAGGCTCTCAAGAGCCTGAATCGCTCACCTGTTATTTTTTTTGCTTAAATCTTTCATCAATGATTATTTTTGCTTTTTACCCATATGTTCAATTTTAGCCATAGTGTCTATGTTTCTTGAAGTACAAGGAAATGAAGTACAAAATTTATACTAGATTCATTTGAGAAGATTTTTAAAGTTAAAAAACATAAAACAACTTGTGTAAAATTGTCCTAAAAGGGCAATAACTCCTAAAGGGGTCAATTGACCATTTTGGTCATATAAAAACGTTTTTGTAGATCTTACTTTGCTGAACATTTTTGCTGTTTACAGTTTATCCTTATCTTCAATAATATTCAAGATAATAACCAAAAACTGCAAAATTTCCTTAAAACTACCAATTTAGTGGCAGCAACCCAACAATGGGTTGTTCGGTGTGTCTGAAAATTTCAGGGCTGATAGATATTGACCTATGGAACATTTTTACCCCATGTCAGATTTGCTCTAAATGCTTTAGTTTCTGAGATATAAGCCAAAAACTGCATTTCACCCCCTATGTTCTATTTTTAGCCATGGCGGCCATGTTTGTTGATGGATCAAAATTTCGGATACAATTCATAAACTAGATTCCTAAAGGAACATTCATTCAAAGTTAAGAAGTATTAGGCACAATAGTTTCAGAAGAGATGATTTTTAAATGTTAGCAAACTTGATGTACACATTGCGTAAAATTGTATTTAAAAGGCAATAACTCCTTAAGGGGTCAATTGACAAATTTGGTCATTTAATTTTTTTGTAGATCTTACTTTGCTGAACATTATTGCTGTTTACAGTTTATATCTATCTATAATAATATTCAAGATAACAAAAAACTGCAAAATTTCCTCAAAACTACCAATTTAGTGGCAGCAACCCAACAATGGGCTGTTCGATTTGTCTGAAAATTTCAGGGCTGATAGACCTTGACCAATTGAACAATTTTAACCATGTCAGATTTGCTCTAAAAGCTTTAGTTTTGGAGATATAAGCCAAAAACTGCATTTTACCCCTATGCTCTATTTTTAGCCATGGCGGCCATGTTTGTCAATGGATTAAAACTTCGGATACAATTTATAAACTAGATATCCTAAGGAACATTAAGATGAAGTTTGAAGGTATTTCGCCCAGTAGTTTCAGAAGAGAAGATTTTTAAATGTTAGAAAACTTGATGAACAAATTGTGTAAAATTGTCTTTAAAGGGCAATAACTCCTTAAGGGGTCAGTTGACAATTTTGGTCATATAAACTTTTTTGTAGATCTTACTTTGCTGAACATTATTGCTGTTTACAGTTTATATCTATCTATAATAATATTCAAGATAATAACAAAAAACTGCAAAATTTCCTTAAAACTACCAATTTAGTGGCAGCAACCCAACAATTGAACAATTTGATCCCATGTCAGATTTGCTCTAAAAGCTTTAGTTTTTGAGATATAAGCAAAAAACTGCATTTGACCCCTATGTTCTATTTTTAGCCATGGCGGCCATGTTTGTCGATGGATCAAAACTTCGGATACAATTTATAAACTAGATACCCTAAGGAACATTTAGTTAGTTTGAAGGTATTTGGCCCAGTAGTTTCAGAGAAGAAGATTTTTGAAATAGTTGACGACGACGACGACGGACGCCAAGTGATGGCATAAGCTCACATGGGGCCCTTTGGGCCCCGGTGAGCTAAAAAACTACACGGACAATAACAGTAAGGGAAGGACTCTTTAATATAATGGGAAGGGGAATGGGGCAGGAGGGTTTTTTGCGGATTTTTTTATTCATTTTAAATTTTTAATCTGTCGCTAAGCATGCCTATTTTTCCATCTCTTACCATGCCACCATATTCATATTCGAAATCCTCCTGTCCCCCTCCCCAAAAAATCAAATGGTTTTCCCTTTATTTAACACGAGTTTAAATTGATTGATTTTTGGTTTCTTATTTTTAACGTCCATACATGTTCAGAAAAAAACACGAATTTAAAAGTCAGGTATAGAATATCAAAACTAGTAAGGAGATGTGGCATGATTGCCAATTAGGCAACTATCAACCGGAGTTCAAATGAAGTAGTTTCAGCAATTATAACCAACCGTATGACCTTCAACAATGACAAAAACCCATACCGTATAGTCAGCTATAAAAGGCTCCGACATGAAAAATATGAAACAATGAAAAAAAATAAATAAATAACGGCCTAACTATATATATCAAAATCTTTTAAAAAAAAAAACAAATATGAGTTGACAGATATGAACCAACAACAACCACTGAACTATAGGCTCCCGACTTTGGAGAATGTGGCAGGGTAAAACATGTTTGTGAGCGCTCAACACTCCCTTAAACTGAGGTAGTGATGTAACAGTACAACATAAGAACAAACTGTAAAAATCAGTTGCAATTGGATTTACTCAAAAAATCAGTACGAGACACAAAAACAACTAATATTAAAAGGATAAACGTAAAGCACCGAAATAAGAGTTTTTCAGTAACTGAACGGCTTGAAATCATGCTCTCCCAGATTAAAGTATCAATCAGTACACAACCAACGGATTTAGTCATCCTTGTATACTAGTATCTTAAAAACATATACAATTAAGGTTCTCAAAAAGTGGTGGTCCGAAGGTTTTAGCCATCGAAATATTGCAAGGACCGGCACAATTTTGGTATTTTGAAATAGAAGTAATAGTTAGGACCAGTATATTTTTCTTCAAGGACCAACAGGGATTAAAGATTTTGAGAACTCTGCGATATCTTTTATATACAATGCTTATAGACAAGATGTCCTTTTCAATTATATACCAGACAAAAATTGACAAATTCTTGTATAGTTTAAGATTATTCCAAAAAATTTAATGGTCTGAGCTTTAAGCCAGATTTGTTTGTTAAAATTAAATTAGAAAAGCATAAAGAAACAATTTCACATACACAGCGATTTTTTCCAACAATTTTCTTTGTCTTTTCCCTTATCATATAATTACATCAATGCCAAAACAGAGAACATAATTAAAGTCATGTCTACCAAATGAACTGACGGAACTAAATTTTCTAATAAATCATGGTAAACTTCGTTTATGTTATCCAACATAAAAAAATTCTATTATATTCGACGGCAAATTGAATTTTTGTTTTATTGCTTCTTCTACAGAATATCTCCAGAAGAGGTCCAGATTCATTTTTTTGGACTCTTCACCAGAAGACATTCTGGAGATGTACAGAAGAGACCAATAAAACACGCCCCAGCTTTAAAGGGTACATTATTTTAAAATGAATAGATTGAATACTGATTTTTTCTAATTGTAAATTTAAAAAAATTATATATATTGAAATCTATTTAGTGACATTCATCACACTATAACATAAAGTCTTAAAAGTTGTATGTTGATGAATAAGTTCTCACCTTATAACAGCTTTATCCCAGCAAGTAACCCAATGGAAACCTGATGCTAACCTGGAATATAAAAGTAGTCAGTTATACTAAACTTTCCTAAAAAAATTATTACACATGTACTAAATTTAAAATTGCACTAGGATAACAAAAAATCATGGAAAAAATATTTGGTATTCTGAATTATAAACTTGTGTTTTATATTTACCAAAAAAATTCAACCGGTATCTCATCAGTGTAAAATTATTTTTTGGTACTAAAGAAACTTATGAAATTTATTTCAAATATTATATTACTAAAAAGATGCTTGATTACCTACCAACATGTTAACAATATCAGACATCCAAGTCTTACTCCCAACACCATGAAAACATCATCATTATAACAACCTAAATATAAAAAAAATAAAAAAATAATTACTTGTTTTACAGATCAATCTGTCTCTAAGAAGACTAACAAAATAATGCTATGTTTCATTTATTATACATTATCATCTTCAATATATAAACTTTAAAACTGCTAGAGATAGAAATTGACCTTGTGCAAGTGCACGTATATGTGTAAGACAATGATTTTGGAATATTCAATTACAAAATCGGATGGTTTTGTTCTCTTTTGATGGTTCTTAAAATCATTTTCATAACAGCGAAGACAACCCCAATACTTATGTTGGTAATAATACGAACTCAATTACTGTAAATTCAGAAACTATTGCAATGTTTTTATTATTGCGAAAAATGCAACATGGTTGTATTGGCAATAATTTAAACTAGCATTTTGAAATTTTTTATATGAATTAAACAGGATTTTTCTCAATATCGCAAAAATTAAAATCGCATTTTAGTCTAAAATTACAAAATCGCAATAAATGAATGGTTATTATTTATTTTGAATTTATTGAACCATAAAATTAAAATTTTTGACTTCACATTGAATAATGCGCGAAGTGGATTATGTAAATGTGAAGAGTCAAAAATCAATTTTATGGTTCAATAAATTCAAAATAAATTATAGCCATTCATTATAAATAAATTTCTATCAAAAATAAGGCTCAAAGAACTTTTTATATTATTTAATTAACCATAATGTACACAGATGTTGGCGTATGAATATACAACGTCAGAGTGGGCGTGTCGCCATAAAAATTGACAACACTGAAAATAAAAGTAATACTTTTAACCAATCAGAAGACAGTAAATACACCAAATTTATTTATTAATAATTGCACGCAATAATTTCTGAATTTACAGTACCTTTAACTTGTTTGCCATTGGCTATCAATAACAGTGATTTTAGCACATTCAGTCTGTCAGAGGCCTTCCAATAGGGATTTAAATATAATAAAAGAGCAAAGTACATGTAGGCACAAGAGAAGAAAAAAAGAAATAATTATTCAACATTTAAATCAACACACAAGGTTTAGTCCTCTGCTAATAATTCATACTATTTGATGTAGGCATTTAGAACCTTTGGCAACCCCAGTTTAAATGTCTAGAACACATTCAATGTGACAAGTGGGCGTTACAGACAAACTTTCACCTTATCTGACCCAGTCAATAGATAACATAAGAGCGCCAAGAAATCGTCTTGTCCACGCTTTTATGAAAATGATTCTATATCAATTCCATATTCAAACAGTTACAGACTTTGCATAAAAATTTGTTTGACCCAAATAAGTTTACAAATTCATTGATAATAACTTGCATACAGTTGGTTTCTATCCAACACAGCTCACTCGATACCAGACAGAAAACAAATGTAAGACTAGATACTCTAAAAATCAAACACTGATAGAAAAGAACCCTTAAAAAATAATGTTAAATGCCTATATATATATATTATTACCATAAAATTTGTGGAATATATAAACTTACCACATATTTTTCATGGTAAAGCCTCAGACTTGGAGAAGATTAAATTGACCATCTCCCTTAGAGCTGCTCTCCCGGCTGACAAGGTGGCTCTCCTCATCATCTTAACATCTTTTTTTTTTAAATATAGTTTTATACATTAAATATATCAGATGCATTTCCAATAAATCCCCTTTCTTGAAAATTTCAGCAAATCAATTGTTAATGACCCAAGATTTCTCCCACCCTGCATACTTATTATCTAGAGCTCTGCTTACATTTATTTTTTTTTATTACAGAGCTCTAAATAATAGTCAATATTAGCTAGTATACATCTGATTTAAAAAAAAAATGTACAAACATGAATATCCAGTAGATGAAAATCCTAACATTGAGGGAATTTCAAGTATGTGGAGTTAAACAGGGGTATAATAAATTGCCTCCCTTTGACCCAAATTTCACCCTGTTCGGACTCCACATCCTTGTTATATTAAACAAAATAAATAAAATAGTACAATTAAAATTAAAAAATAGATTGATAACAAAAATCTAACACATTTCAATAAAATATTTCGTACTGATCGACTTATGGTGGCAGAGTGGTCCTATAAGTAGTTCAACTACTGTATCACTAGCCTGTCAACACTGAGAACCCTCACATGAAATGTGTAACTTCATTCTTAATTTGACTAGGGTTTGCCCGTTTCCCTGATGAAGGTGATGTTTTCACCAGGCACTCTGGCTGTCTCCACAAATAAAAATTTACAGCCAAAATTATAGTAAATCATGTTAAAGTGGTGTTTAACACCAAAAATCAACCAATCCAATTTCAACAAGATGTTCTTCAACTATGCCTTTTGTAAAATTATTCTTTAAAAAATATCACCTTGGTTACAAACCAAAGTCAGCTAAAAATGACAAAAAAAGTGCAAAAAATATATTTCTAACTTCTTAACTTCGTAAATTCCTCTGCATTAGAGCACCCTTGTCACATATCTTAAAGATATTAAAATTAACACGAAAGAAAAGGTTGTAAGGGGATATATTTACTGCAGACCATTATTCATCTTTTTAGTTTACACTAGAGAGGCATTTGCTATGGTAAGGCATTTTGAAACGTTGCTAAAAAAAAAAAAATAATTAAACTTTTTGCTAAGAAATTTAGTGGGAATATTCACATCGGCAGATTTAATTGCATTAACTACATGTATAAAGTAACTTGTAAAATTTGAAAGTATCTCAAATCCTAAAATAACAAAAAGATGGCAAAAATATATACATTACAATTTGCAAAAAAAAAAATACATTTCAATAATTGAACATTTTTTTTTTTTTTTCTTTCTTTTTCTTTTACATTATCCATTCTTAAACTGCTGGAAGTTTTTTGACTAGACATGAGTATAAACGGAAAATAGAAAGAATTTTTGTAATGTCAAATACAAGTTAACCTACAACTTCCAATCTTGTTGAAAATGGAGAATCTTTACATATTTTTTTTTTTTTTTTTGGTAAAAAAATTATAAACATTTTCTCAAGCATACACAAAAATAGTCTGAATTACATTCTTTACTGTTGCAGTTATATCACACAACCATTTTATGCAGCCACAGATATCTGAAAAAGAAATATACATTACTCATGAACATTGAAATAATATTTAATGCAAAACAATTATAATTTACTGAGCATTACAATTATAATGTATAGAACATTTCTTTTTCTTTGTTATAAAGTGATTTGTTGACATAAATTTTAAAGTACCAGTATTTTTCTTAGCAATAAAAGGATGAAAAACAAGTCATTGGCTGATGTCTTGACAAATATCTTTTTAACATTGTTTTATAGCTATATATAGTATATCATGCGATTAACATACTTGATTGATTTTTTTAACATTTAGTCATGTTGAACCTTTATAGCTAACTATACAATATAGGTTTTGCTCATTGTTGAAGGCATAGGGTGACATTTAGTTGCATCCACATCATTTGGTCTCTGGTTGATAGCTGTCTCATTGGCATACATACCACACTTACATATTTTCATATATGGGGACAACTATAGATAACAAAAAAACTGAAATCCCAAGATTTCGCATTATACATTATACTTTTTGACTTCCCTTATATATCTTTATATCTCCTTCTAAATTGTTTATTCAACTATAAGTAAAGAAGACATTAATATGTAAGATTTACATCTGTGCCTAACAAAAATCTTGGGCTTTAAAATGCTCTTGGATGAAAAGTTCATAAATCTATGTATTGATTCTTACCATAAAAGTCAGCTCCAATGCCTACTCCCAGCTTCAATCCTTACAGACAAGCTGTGATGCTAACCTGAAATATAAAATGATAATTCATTAATAAAACCCTGTAACTCGGAAACGTAAAATCTAAAATTTATAAAAATAGAGAGGGAGCTCATGTCAATAGATATAAACAATTCACCACAATTTCTTGCAAGTTGGTGAAAGCATTCTTGAGTTTTGTCCGAAAACTGGAAAACCCCCCATTTTTTAATGAATAAAACCCCATAACTCAGAAACGTAAAATCTTAAATTTATAAAAACGAAAGGGATCTCACGTCAATAGATATAAACAATTCACCAAAGTTTTATGCAAATTGGTTAAAGCGTTTTTGAGTTAATGTCCGACATGTTGACGACAGACGGACAACAGTATACCATAATACGTCATGTAAACGGGCGTATAAAAACTGTTTAAAAGGTTCTTTGTTGGTATTATGTTTGTATATTGAATAGATTGAATGATTGGTTGTTGGTTGCTTAAGGTCCAGTGGCAAATCATTAAATAGAAATAGTCTTAAAATGTGTTATATATGTCAAGAACATATGGATGAGACAGCAATCCAACAAGCCAACACATTTTTATGTAAACAATTCAGATCCTAAACTTTACTCTTATTTGGTTACTTATATAATAATAAGAGTAGATTCCTGTAAAAAATCTTTTAAGCGTTCAAATCTTGTTTTTCCATAAAATATTTATAATACATTTGAGTTTTCCAAAACAGGACTAACATACTGGTACATACCTTTGTATTAGCTGTATAAGACCACCAAGTCTTATTCCCACACCATGAAAACATGTCTCAGAAAGAACCTGAAATGAAATTATAATCAACACATTATACATTTTGTTAATCAATTTATGTGTTACCGATAACCTAAAATTTACTCAATATTGTTCTGATTTCTTATTGCAGGTAGACAATTGTATAAAATCATTTTTTTTTTCAAATCAATATAAAAGATAGAAAAGTAAAAAAACGTCAGATTTAAATTTAACTGCACAAAAAATATCTGAATATTTTACAAAGTTATCTCCCTTTGAATGCAAAATCGTGTTTTAAATTGTACTTGTCTTTTCTTGAAGTTTAATGACTATTTTTAGGATTTACTATTGATATTTTAATAGAAAATCTTGTTCATGTATCTTGTATCTTTAAATTCTAAACTGGTAAATTAATTCATCAATGGTGTTTTAAATGCAATATTTCAGAAGAGTCTGTTATCTTAAAAGATCTTGCTAAAATAAACTTGCCTTTTCTATTTTCATGGTAAAGAGTCAGACTTGGTTGAAGATTTAATTGACCATCTTCCTAAGAGCTGCTATCCTGGCTGACAAGGTGGTTCTTCTCATTATCTTATTGTCAATCTATGTTGTGTCCATTTGTTTTTAGAAAATAAAGTAACATACATAAAAAATATCAGATGCACTTTCAATTAATAATTTTAAGTGACACATAATTTTTCCAACCCTAAATTTCTATTATCTAGAAAACATCTGATATGTAAAAAAGTGCATAAATGTGAGTATCCAAGTAAGTAAAAATCTAACTTTGAGGGAATTTCAAGTAATTGAAGTTAAACACAGTATAATAAATTACCTCCCTTTGACATAAATTTCACCCTGTTAGAACTCCACATCTTTGTTATATATAACAAAAAAACATAAATAGTATACCGGTAATCAAAATAAAAAAATAATTAAATTACAAAAATTCAACACATTTCAATAACATATTTAGTCGGATGGAGTAAAGGTGGCTGAATTGCCAAAGTAGTTCAACTACTGTATCACTAGCCTGTCAGCACTCTGAACCCTCACATTGTAGGTGTGTTTAACGTTAATCTTAATTGACTAGAGTTGCCAGTTTCTCTGTTGAAGGGGATGTTTTCACCAGGCTGTCTCCACAAATAAAAACTGGCAGCCAAGATATAGCAAATCATGCTGAAAGTGGTGTTAAATACCAAAAATCAATCAATCTACTTTCATCAAGATATTCTTCAACTATGCTTCTTGTAAAATATTCTTAAAATAATATACCCCTCGTTATAAACTCAGCTAAAAATGACACAAAGGTGAAAAAATATATTACAATTTGCAAAAATAAAAAACATTTCAATAATTGAACATTTTTTTCTTTTTCTTTTTTTTCTTTTCTTTTTTTTTAGATTCTCCATTCTTAAAACTACTGGAAGTGTTTTGCCTAGACATGAGTATGAACAGAAAATAGAAAGTAATTTCAAAGACCTATTTAAACCTACAACTTCCAATCTTGTTGAAAATGGAGAACCTGTACATATTTTTTTTTCTTTTTGTAAAAATTATAAACATTTTCTCAAACATACACAAAAATAGTCTGAATTACATTCTTTACTGTTACAGTAAAATCACATAGCCCTTTTATGCAGCCACAGTTACCTGAAAAAGAAATATACAGAATTAAACATAATTGTCAAAATCTGAAAATTGAAACAATATCAAATGCAAAATAATAAATAAATGGTCATTATAATCATGATTCATAAAACCTTTCTCTTACTTTGTTTAAAAGTGATTTGCTGATATCTTTTTGGAACTACCAGTCTTTATATTGGAGAAATAAAACTAAACATATCATAGATAGCTCAAAAAAGAATTATTATAAAAATATGGTAAAAGACTCCAATGACCCTAAAACTTTATGGAAATGTCTTCACAGTCTGAACCCAAAAGTTAAAAATACACCATATGAATTAGCCACAGAAGATAACAATACAACTAAAAGTAAAAAATCAATAGCAGAAACTTTTAATAACTTTTTCACTTCCTGTGCTGAAAAATTAAGAGAACAAGGAAGTTATACACCTGTAAACAAAGCAGATTTCAGTAATCTTGGTAAATTTGTTAAAAATAAATTACATAAACATGATAAATTTTCTATACCACCAGTGATCATGAATGAGCTATTTAATGAGTTAACAAAACTTGATATAAACAAAGCATCTGGTATGGATAATATAGGACCAAAAATCCTAAGATTAAGCGCCCCTATTATTGCATCACCTCTCACATACATATTTAACAGAATGATAGATACTGGTATATATCCTTCTTTACTGAAGAATGCTAAGTTAACACCAGTTTTCAAGGATGGTGACAAGCTTTTAGCAACAAATTACAGACCTATATCTGTTCTTCCAACTTTATCAAAATTAATAGAAAGGCATGTTTCTAATAACATGTACAAATACTTATCTAAACATAAACATTTACACCCTACACAATCTGGTTTCAGGCCGCAGCATTCTTGTCAAACTGCACTTATTAATATCATTGACAAATGGTTGCAAGAAATGAATGATGGTAATTTAAACCTAGCAATTTTATTAGATTTTAAAAAAGCTTTTGATTTGGTAGATCATGACATTCTTTGTTTAAAGCTTGAAATCTATGGATTTAGTGAGGCTACTGTTAGTTTTTTCAAGTCATACCTGAATAACAGAAAACAGCAGGTAAACATTTGTAATGTTTACTCTGAACAACAACATGTAAAATTTGGTGTCCCCCAAGGTTCTATACTTGGTCCTCTATTGTTTGTGCTATTTATAAACGACCTTCCCTTATGCATTGAAAATTGTGAAACAGACCTATATGCTGATGACACCACTCTTCATAAATCAGGGAAAAACATAGAAAATATACATGATGATATTCAAGAAGATTTATACAGGGTTGAAGAGTGGTGCAAAATGAATAACATGTTCATTAATGCAAATAAAACAAAATGTTTGGTTACTGGAACAAAGCAGAAACTATCAATTCAGACTTATCAACCAAACTTAATAATAGATTCAAAAGTATTACAAAATTCTTCATGTGAAAAATTATTAGGTGTTAAAATTGACAGCACACTTAACTGGAGAAATCAAATTGACCAAGTTTGTGCTAATATATCATCCAGAATATACCTCCTTTCTAAAATAAAGAAATTTTTAGATATAAATGCAAGGAAAACATATTACAATGGGTATATTCTGCCCCTGATTGACTACTGCTGTATTATTTGGGGTGAATGTAAAAATGAAGGGATAGCAAGAATTTTAAAACTCCAAAAAAGGGCAGCAAGATTAATTCTAGATGCAGTTCCTTTATCCCCCTCAGCCCCCTTATTTAAAGAACTTGGGTGGATGACAGTTGACAATAGAATAAAATACCACAAATATTTACTTCTATATAAATGTATGAGTATGGAAGCACCAATGTACCTAGTTCAAAAGTTTAAACTGAAATCAGATAATAATCCTTACTCCCTG